GATGTACAGACCGTGCCTCGACGTCTGATGCTCTCGATCCTCTGCATTCTTCGGATGCTGCGTCATCTCCAAGCGCGCTTGGTCTGGGTATCTCGTTGCGGGCTAACATTGAAGAAACAGCGGATCAGTAACCCGGCGGCTGTTGAGACAATGAGCTTAGCTCTCCAAGACTTGAAGGTATTGCTGTTTCCAATTTCAAGGTCCTTTGCACACTGGCGTCGCACGAGAGCCGCGAACCAAATACCTGCTCGTGCACGTAATTTTTGACTTGTCGCAGCAGTGTCACTACAAGAGACGTGTTCTTTGCTGACTCGAAGGTTGTTGTTGGTAGCGTACAGTTTGCCATTACTCGTATGAAGACTCTTCCCATAGTCATTGAAGTTGTTTGTCATGCAGTAGAAGGCTATAGCTGTTGCGTAATTCGCCAACACCCGAGCGAACCGGCCGCCCGGTGAGAGGTTATTTATCTGCTTGTCAGAGAGACAAGTCAATGCAATTCATAGGTTTGGGGAGAAGAGCCGCAGTGATGTCGTCAAACTTTTCTCGAAAGTGATGGAGTCTTGGTCCCCTGCCACCATGCATCGCCGGATTCGCCGGGAAGAGCTCATTGCTGTTAAGCAGCCGACAGGTAACCGATGCAGTCCTGTCATGTCGCACGCTTCCAGTCTCAAGTGAGGTAACGTTCCGGTGAATTGGACCTCGAATAGTCGACATGCAGAAGGTTAGATCAAGACAAATATCAGTTGACCTGCTTAGCTTATGTCAACTCTTGCGGTGTCTTTGCTGAAAGAACGGTGAAGGAATCTGTGCCAAGTGAAGGAGAACTCGAGACATCCAGAGTTGTATTGTACAAGTACGGTATAATGATACAGGGTCTTGCGCTGTGTGACGTTCCACGAGTGTAAGACTTGGCGTGGCCGAGTCGATGAACGTGCAACTCGTGCAGAGGGCCGATCTCAGCACGAGTGTTGCTAGCTACTGGACACCTGATGGGCTTAGCAGTTTGAGTCGACTCGAACATTTCCCGTAATCATCTTCGGAATCAGAGATGGATGACATTCATCAACCTAGAGCTGCCGAAGATGGCGATCGCTTCCCTGAGACACAAGTCTGAGACTGGTCAAGGGTAACGGCACCCGTCTGTCGTGCAACCTCGCGTGACCATTCCGTGGGCTCCTGAATCTGTCATCTGCAAGCCACCGGAGGATAAGACATCAGGTTGTATACCCAGGTCTCGGGCAACAGGCTGTCTGGATGGGGACGCTGCATGCGTGGCACACAAGCACGAGGTGACTCGGTAGTGGACTCGGTCTTCAAAGGTAACACATGGCGGTCGATCGCCGTGTAACACGCGTCGTGCTTGTTTCATCAAGCCAGCTTCCAGAATCCAAGGTAGGCAAAGCTTAACGAACTCTCATTGCTGGGGCCGCCAACCGCGGTTTTGGTGATTGCAGTTCAACAGTCGCACCGACCAAACCAGCGAGGGAAAGCCACCACGTCTCTGACATTCGGAACTCCCACAAGGTAGCTGAGAAGCCTGTCAAAGCCCAGACCAAATCCACCGTGTGGGTTGGAGCCCCAACGGCGTAGGTCAACGTACCAATCGAGGTTGCCATCGACGTTGCTCGCTTCTTTGCCGTTGGACGGCGGGATCATGCCACGAGCCTCCATGGTTTCCAGCAACTCTTTCAGGCGATGCTCGCGCATAGAGCCACCAGCAATCTCGCACAAATCAGGCACCAGCAAGTCGAAGCAGTCAACCGTCGCACCAGCTTCATCAGGTTCAAGATTCGAAGAGGCTGATGTACGCATGTAGAAGGCTTTGATCTCGCGGGGGTAGTGGGTGACGAAGACGGGCATGTAAGCGCCGGCCTCATTGGTAACACCCAGGCTTTTGGCAAGGAACTTTTCGTGCTCCGAATGTAGGCCTCCTTCCCAGGTGGGCTTAATCTCGAAACGGTCTCCCTCGGCCTGAAGCAGCTTGATCGCCTCACTGTAGGTAATGCGTGGCCATCTAGATGACGGGTTTTGCATGATACCCTTCCATCGACGCTCGACTTCTTCTATTGGAACCAGATCGTCCTCGGCGGTTCGTGTCTTGCCCTGGGCTCTCCTGTGACGCAACTCCCGAGCAGCCCGCGTACCAGATAAGCCCGTAACCAGCCCACGCAGCATGTCCTCAACCAGGTCCATGACATCGTCGAGGTCGTCGACAAAGCTCATTTCGGCTTCCAGCATGTAGAACTCGCTCATGTGGCGGGTGGTGTCGCTCTGCTCAGCTCTGAATGTTGGAGAGAGGGTCCAAACATGGCCAAGCGACTGGGCCAAGGCCTCGAGATGAAGTTGAGAAGATACGGTGAGGTACTTGGGCGAGCGGAAGAACAATTCGGTCTTCTTGTTGCGACTATGGGGTGCTGGGGACGAGGTCTCGGCCGGTCCCGTGGTGACATTGAAGACCTCCCCGGCCCCTTCGCAATCAGACGATGTAATTATAGGCGGATGGGTCTGAATGAAGTCTCGAGAGGCGAAGAACTGAGTCAAAGTAGCAACGGCCTCTGAGCGCAGACGTAGGATGTTGGCATTCAGTGGTATTCGCGGTCTAAGATGAGGCATCGTGCGGAGGAATTCCGGCGTCTGATACTTTTTCTGGATGGGGAAGGTCTGTCGAAGGGCGAGTGTTAGGCGTATGGGACAAGAAAAGGAAATGAGTGCTTTTGGAGACATACCTTGGCGTCGGAAGGGCCGAGAACTTCAACGTTGTCGACCTTCAACTCGTGAGTCTGGCCGTCGGTTTTGGAGGGAACCCATGAGCCCCGTAGGCGGACTGCAGCACCGACTCGCAGGTTTGAGCTACTCGATTATGAAAAATCAGACGTTCCGAGACATGTACGAAGCTGGGGCAGCTGAGTTTGCCCACCTCTCGTCTTGGCTCCTCGAGACCATGGCCTGAAGAGGGGTCCTTGTTGAGCCATCACCAATGTTGACAAACTGCTCAGTCTTCATGTTCCGGACGGACCGAACGTAGCCGTTGACAACGACATTCTGAACTTCTGTGTCGGGTTTCCAATCCAAGAATTGCGCAACTGTCCGGCGGGACTGTGTCGTGAGCTGTCGTCTACCAATGAGGTTGGCAGAGGGGAGGGCCCTCACGAATTGGCGGGGTATCGTCATGGTTCGTCGCGACCTCGTCGAGCAGGGCAATCGCATGGGTCCCTCGTTGGTAAGAACACCGGTGTCGCCTGGCGCGATCAAATTGTGTCGGCGGCTATTCCCGGGACGATGTTGCGCGATGGAAGCGGCTGCAAGGACGACGTCGAAGGCGTCGATGACATGCGACAGACAAACAGGAGCTTCAAAAAAGCAGCTTCCACTTTGGTGGTGCTGCGCCAATGGGAAGCTCCAATGCCGCCGGACCTTCCTTGAGTCACTTTAGATTAGATAAGGAAATTGTTATCGCCGATTAGATAAGCTACGTCGCGGATAAGGAAGGTGGAAGGTAGGCAGGTACGTACTCGCGACATTGAATGCATTGAATGTACCTCGTCGAATGCGTTGCTGCTGCTTCTTTTCTCTTCCTTTGACCAACTTCAAGACAGCCTTCGATCTCCGATTCTCTCCAGTTCCTCTCTGTTCATTGTGAAAACCCAGAACAATGAACAACTCCGCCGTGCCAGGCAGCAGACAAACACACACAGGCGGCTCCTCTTTTGCGGACCGACTTGCTGTCGCAGGGACCCGGCTCAGTTCCGCCGGTCGTCGACTCCCGAGACACCAAACACCAACCCACGGGTGACGACCTCGGGATAATGCAGTCTTTGATTCGCAATCCCAGGACGTGGTCTTGGGATCAGAGCATTTCTTCGGGTCCGATACTGTTCTTCCATCTCTGCAAGCGATACTCAAATCATGCCGGATGCACCTTGTCACAGTTGTCACAGCCCCAGATGTGACTGACAAACATGGTCAAATTACGGGTTCACAGCTGCATATCCTCACAACCAATATCCTCCCAAATTTGGCATTCCCTCCGAGCATGGGTCTTGCAAGATCCACCATCCCGTCTCCCGTCTCCCGTCTTGCCTCACTCTGCTCGCCTTTTCTTCATTGCTTCCAACCCCTGGCAAATCGGACACCCTAGTGGAGATCCAAGAACCACAAAGCTGGGTTTGTTGCTTCTTCCACGCCCATTAGGTTGCTTATTTCTGCCCAGCAACATGGCTAGGCCCTGCATTCTCTCCTCCCTCCTCTTTCTATGCTATCAGAAAAGGGGCCCCCTGCTTCTTTCTGCCTTACATTCCCTTCCCTGCCTTGGCTGCTTAGCTCCCGTCCGCCCTCCCATGCTCCCCTCTGAGCCAACATGTCTGACCCTGGTTGCACTGCTTGCCCCCAATACTCTCCCCCCGGCTCGCAAAGACATCTCAAGTGAGATCTTGGGAGACAGGAAGATCTCGTATAACTGCGGCAGATTGCAGTAGTATCTCGATCGGATTCCACCAACCAAGACCACGGGAGGCTCCATGTAGCACGACCCGGGTTTCTGTATAAGCAAGACACTTCTCATCACGACCATCCGCAAACCCACCCGCTCTTTACGCGCCCTTCCTATACACTACCCTGGAATGTCGCAGACTTGACTGAGATCCGGCAAGTATTGGTTACACTCCCCTCCTTCATCCTTCACCGCTCTCGCTTGCTAGAGGCGAAGCAGCTTCTCTGTAATGGCGGCTCGAGAGAGAGAGAGAGCTATGCGCATGGTTTCTTTTTCTCTCTACCCTCCATGCCGCTTCTCGACATGGCATGGACTTTGTTGAAGCTGGATAGACTGCCTCTTCGTTGCGAGATAAATATTTAAGGTCGGCCAGAGAACTCCCGTCGACATGCTCCCGGTTCCTCATCTTCAAGCCTCTTCATCCATCCTCCATAGAGAGCAGTACTTGTCCGGATATTTGTCTGTCTCCAGTCACCTCATCCGTATTTGATCTCACTGCCACGAGACCGAGATGCCTTCTTCAAAGCCTTTGAAGATCAAGCCCTCCGAGGTTGCGGCTGACACCAAAAAGAAGCTCATTCCAGAGGTCAACAAACATTTTCGCGACGAATGGCCTCCGTACTCGGTTCTATACGCACAGCCTCTGGAGCAACTTTGCCTGAACCGTCCCAGCTTCATGAGTTCAGATCTCCCCAAATTCTGTGAGTCAAGCTTCTGGCCTCACGAAAGGTTCCCAACTAATGCCATCAGACGTCGTTCACGGAGATCCGGTTGACTGCGCCATCGGATGGGCTCAGAGCGAGGGCGTTCGCATTCCGTTCATCTGTGCTGCCAATGAGAAACGCCCGGGAGGAGACTGGGAAACGGGAGTTGTTGGATATGAGGTATGATGACGGTGGAACCGTTCTGGAGTCAACAGAAGGTTAATGAGATCTGGTACAGGAGAGACTATGCCGTCGAAGCAACCTCTCGGCAACGCTGGCCGCCCCACATCCGGAGACCTACTTGGCGTCCAACTACCCCATACCGATCGAGGGAGCCATCTACTCCCCTGACGTTGGTAAGCAATTACCGACCCACGATCTCGGAACAAGCACTGACTCCATGTCTTCAAGTCCGATTTCGCCAGTTCCAAGACAGAATCGAGTCGCTAGAGATGAAGGATTGGAGATCGCTGCCGGTCATCTCCATGCCGCCAGCGCGCTGGCCCAAGCTCACCGACATGGGCAGGAAATACTCGTTCTCGACGGAGCGTGAGCTGGTAAGGAACAAGATGCGAGCAGCGCTTCGAATTTGCGCCTCTATTGGTTACAACCATGTGGTCATTGGCGACTTTGGTCTTGGCAACGGATATCGCAACCCGCCCAAGGAGTTGGCAGAGCTCTGGCGCGAGGTCTTTCTCTACGATCCGGAATTGAGGGGTCAGTTCTCAGCCGTCATGTTTGCCTTCGAGGACGACCGACAATGTACGGCCAAGTGCATCCTTGACGATATCGCCAAAAAGAGTAAGGGCAGCAGCAGCAGCAGCTCGAAGAGCAAGTCCAAGAGTAGCTCGTCGTCATCGTCAAGCTCCAGCAGCTCATCCGGCCACAAGAGCGACTTCAAAATCTTCAGCGACGTCTTCGCTCCCAATGAAATCGCACGAGTCCGAAGCCAGCCCGACCCGCGCTACGCCTTCTCTGCGATCATGGACGGTTCTTGACCGACACGTTCTTGGCGCATCACTGATGGGCTGCTTGTCTCAGTCGTGGGTGCTCAGCATGAGCCGGTGAGACTGGGACGTACGTCAGGCGGGCTGAAGCAGCATACCATGGGAGAAAAGATTTGTCTTTTGGGCACGGCCTTGTCATGTCGACATGATGAATACAAACAAAGGGTGTTTGTATGTCTCGCGACCCATGCACTCGTACGCCATCAGACAGCCGCTTCCCTGTCCGGGTCTTCCTATTGGTTCGCAACCAAAGGACAGGGAGTCCAGCATCCGCGTTATTTGGTCAGCTTTTCAATCTAGCGGCCCACGCTCTTTTCTTTTTCTGCCCCTGCACACATCGGGCTGAGGCTCCTTGCGATCTCGAGGGACCCCAGATCTACAACGTCGGGCGCCAACAGCAAGTCCTGACGGGTCTGTTGGGAGGGAGCTATGATTTTCCCTGGGTTTTCTTTTGTTTTCAGTCTTCACGGAAGCCTGCATCACTATCGTGGTAGGCATGGTCTGCGATATAGTCGTGGCTGGCGGCGTTCTGGCGAGTCGCGAAGTTTGGTCAGGGTCTATGTAATTGAGTGTGTTCTGAGAGCCTTGGACGCGTTTGGTGATTTCCAGCACGTTAAACCTATTCCCCTCGCAGACGAATCTCAATTTGGACATATTGTTCGATCATTCCATCACATTTTCTCTTTACGAACAGCATTTAATAGGCACGCACCCCGGGTGACGAGACGCAGGGGGCAGGCATCGTTCCTCCAGCTTGCCGGGACGTCGAATCGGAGACGGTCCTGACATCCGCCTCATTTTCCGAAATGATATTTCAAATCAGTCAGTGACACAACTACGAATCAACACACTGTCTCTTCCACCAGGCTGTTCATCTCCCAGTGTGCAGAGATCTTCGACTCATTGTCACGGTGAGGCTGAAGTCAACTTACGATTCTAACTTCGATCATCAGACCACCGAGTCTTTGGCAGACGCCTGGCGGCAGCCCCGTTCGGCCTTCACAATGCCAACAACATCAGAGCTGGCTCATTCACTCGTTCATCCACGTCTCGCCGAATTTGCCCTAGCGTCAACGGCAAACCTAGAATCCGTGGAGGTGGAATGGGCCAGCAGACCAGCATGTCTCTGCCTGTTCGTATTCGTCCCGTCCCATTCGGTCCTGTCGAAATCTGCCCAGCACGTGCTGCGGCGGGACAACAGACGAAAAAAAGCAAGGAACGACTCGTCTTGTCCGCAAGCAACAGGCCGCGGCTTCCTTCGAAGGGCAGTCATCCCGAAGGCCCCCCCGAAGGGAGAAGAAAGTATTTTGCATGAGTCTACATTCTGCGTCCTCTAGCGATGATGGGCAACGGGACGTCCTCGACACGGAATGATAGGCTAGCAAAGACTAGCACCCAGGCGGGATCTTCGACAGGGTTTGCCTGCGTCGGAAGGTATCCCATGCTTGCTTTTTCGGGAGCTGACATGATTTTAGATGCAAACAATGCTCCTTGGTGTCCTCGTCATTACTTTGTATGCACCTCGACGCAAGCCAAACAGCAGGGGCCCCCATAATCCAAATAACAAATCCTTGCTCCTCATGTCAGATCTTGGTCAGGGGTGTACGATCATCTCGATGATTAGGTATCACTGCGTATCCCCTGCCGCATTGGCCCCCACTCCCAGAACATCAGGCAAGAGGTGCTGGAGGACTATCTAGGTGGACGCCGAGTCAGAAAAGAGAATCTACGGTATCCTGACTGCTGCCGTCACTTTTCAGTTTTCACGACCTGAAGGCTGGCATCTTCGAGGCTTCTGTGTGACGGGTCATTACGGCCGAGACATGAAGAGGCCTCACTTACGGCCTTTAGGAGGGGTTGGCTCGAGCCGTCGTCGAGGGTCTTTCTCACCTTTCGGGACTTTTTTTCAACAAGCAAGAGAAACACACGACTTTATCCCGGCCTTTTGGTTTTGGGTGCCAAGGGGAGTGAAGGAAGGGACACATAATGCGTAGGAAAGAGGGAATATTTCTCGACCCCTGACCCGGGCTGACGCCACCCGAGCCCGACCACGCGGAACCGGAGAGGACAACGCTCCTCGAGGCACGCAGCCTCGTTCAGGCCCTTACATCGGACATCCAATCATGCGGGACATGGGACCTCTGAACCAACTCCCTTTCCATTCTTTGGTGTGGTCGGTTACACAAACACGCACGCACACCCGCAAGGAGGCGGGGTGAAGATGCCCAAGACAGCTCGCGAGGACTATCTCTATTAGGGAGCACCGTGGGCATCATCATCCTCTTCTGTCGAAGTGGGTGCAACAAGACTGTTGTTCAGAAATGGGCGTTGCTTTTCCACTTGATGATGAGGTTTCCTCTTCCGGATTGGCCCTCGAGAGTCTATGATACTTGCTATTGCAGCCACGCTCTATCTACAACATTCTGCGCGGTTCGTCCCATGAGCGGCTCCTACCGGCGACCCGTTAGCTGACCGCCACCTTTCTCTGGATGGCCGGGAAGGGCTTGTAACCGTCAAGACGGACGTCGACATGGGATGGGACGGAAGCCCGCCTCTGGGTCAAATTACCATCCATTAGGCCAATGCGTCGAGCGGAATCGTTCCCGGCCGCGTCCAGGCGGTTCTTCTTCCATGCGCGCAAGACTCTTCTTCACCGCCCTCAGCAGGCAACCTACCACAAAGGCACCCGTCCCGTGAAAGTTTCCCACTTTGGCATGTTGGACCGCAGTGCATCCTAGGAATCAGTTCATGTCCCTAGTCCCGGACGAAGATTCCGCCCGCCCTACGACGGCGTTCCAGACCACTGAGACACTGGAGGACCGCCTCGCAGGGACTCGCTCGACAGACACTGACTCTTTGTTTCTCTGGTGAAAAGCAAATGCAGCGATCTCCGTCAGGGATTCACATTCAGCATCGCCGCGCCTCCCACCCCCCCTTTCTCTCCCATTTTCCCGGTCCATCCAGCAGGCGGGAACCCGTCGATCACCTCCCATCGACCGCCTTCCAGATCATGCACAACACACGCCCCCTCCTCCCGTTTCCCTTTCCCTTCAATACGGCCTTGGCCTTGGAGCTGGCGGGCGGGGGTTTGAAAAGCGGCAGCCTGCATGTTTCACTGCCCTGGGATTCAACGTCAACCACTCGTCTCTCGCCTGATTATACCACGCGCTGCCGAACAAATGCAATCATGTATGGATACCCGATGAGCCATTCTAATGCAAGAAAACCCTTCCTCGTGGGGAACAAACAAAAGCACACAGAATTGGGAACCCTCACACTCGGCGGCAAGAACGAGGTATTCCTCATGTACGCCCCGTAAGTTGTCTCAGCCAGAGAACACCAGACTTATCCTTTTCCCAGCCCAGCGCAGGGAATCAATCAAACCCATGACGGAAGAGAAAGAGCCCCCGCCCCATGCCGTGTGAAGCTTGGCAAACCGGTAGAGTCCGCGGTTCATCCATACCGAAAGGCCATGTCAAATGTCTCGTCCGCCTTTCCCAATCTGTCGTTACCAGCAGCGAAGAACGGGTTAGCCTGCGCCGTACATGCCTCCCCAAAGAATAACTCCCCCATCTTCTGTCAGAAATCACATCTCACAATCTCATTATTCCTGAACCCCCCCCGGTCTTCTTTGATCACAACGCCGATTTGACTCTTTTGGTTTTGTCCCAGGTTAGCAGGAACTGGGCGGCACAGGGGGCGGGCACAGGTAGTTAGTTTGATCAGATGACAGGCGGCACCCCCACCCCCTTGGGTCCGTTCAGCTCGTCCACCCGCTCCCTTGGGATAGACACTTGCGAAAGATAGAGGCCCGGGCTGCCTTCCATGTAGATGTCTCTCGACTAATTGCGCCGTTCTTGGGACTATCTTTGGCGGGAGCGGTGATGACGTTCGCTGCCTGGGCAGATTTACGTTGGGGGCGCCGCGTCGACCATCTCTCTCTCTCTCTCTCTCTCTCTCTCTCTCTGCCATGTCTTACGCGTTGGGCCGCAGGGATCTTCATCACGGTCGATGCGCATTATCCAAGAATCATGACGACTGGGCCAGAGTGAAGGGCATGTGAACATTGGGCGCAAGACGAAAAGGGGGAGGCAAATATTGGGCCTTCTGGGAGCTGTACCGAGGTTGAATAGAAAGCGGTCTCGAGAATTTGAGCATCACTTGTGCTGTGTCACCTCTCATTTTCGCAGTGTCACGACAGCGCGTTTCGTAAAGGCACAGCGCTGCTCACCGCCTCGATGGTGAGGTTTCGTACACGCAAGCAAGCAAGAGGGCAGCAGTGGTATGAAGCACGTTGCGTTCCAGGCGCACCGAGACAGGAGCTCTGTAACGGGAAGTTCCAAGCGGGATCCATGGATGAGGAAAGGGCCGTGTTAGTTCACGTACTCGACCAACGGCGGGTAGTTCGTTCAGCACGAGCTGGGGAGGTATTCTTTTTTTCTTGGACTGTTTTGCGGAGGGACGGAGGCCCCCTTGGACACCGCCCACCAAAATGTATATGCATTTATGGAAAACGCTCAAAAACACGAGAGAAGAAGAAAACATAGCTTGCCGCATCGCCCACGCCCACGCCGCAACCCGACTCCTTTTGCCCACTACTACCAAATCACTTTAGTAACCTTTTTCCTACCAGTAATTAGGCCGCAGGCCAGCGAAGCCGGCTAGGGCGTTGGCGTCCGTCAACGGGTCGTCTCTCTTTCTCTGGCCGGACAGCTACGTAGTCACATTAGTAAGTGTTTAGGGGGTAGTGATAGGGGCAATATCGTACCTCGAGCTGCACACTCCTGTGGAGGTGGACGAGCCAGTCGACGTAGCTCTGGGCCTCGTTGTTCCTATCCTCGACCAGCATGCGCGCGAACTCGTACTCGGCGCCGTCGATGCCTTGCCTTGCCAGCTGAATGCCCAGGCCCTTGGACCCGCGCATCGTCTTGAGGAACTCGACAATGTTGCGGATCTGGGCGTTTAGGTGCGTCTGGAGCATGGGCAGCGACGACGTGTAGGCGTCGAGGCTCTGGAGGGTCGTCTTGTCCTCGCCGAAGAGGTCTGCAATGAGGTTCGGTGACGTCTGCGCGTGGAACCAGAGAAGGCATTGCTGGCCGTTGTCGACGAGGTAGACGCCGCCGGGCTCGACGCGGGAGAAGGACGTCCTGATGGCGGGGGGCACCTTGAGGTGGCCTGACTCGTCGGGGAAGCCTTCCTCGGGTGCGAGGTTGTGAACGGGGATCATGCGCGGGTAGAGGTAGAGGCTGAGTTCCATGGCGCCCATGGAGCGGATCATGCGCATCTCGTGTACTCTGCGGTCGGAGCTTTCGTTGCCGCCCTTGAAGGCGCGGCACTTGACGAGGCCGAGCATGTACATTGAGAACTCCTTGAGGCGCTCCGGCATGACGAGCTGGCCGTCGGGCTGGGCTGCGGTGAGGAAGTTCTTGCGGTAGCACGAGAGGATGTCGATTGTCCTCTCGGTGAGATGGTTGCGGACGTCCTTGAGAGACGCGGAGGTGGTGGCCAGTTTTGTGCTTGCTTCCTTGGCGAGGATAGCGACCACGGCGTCCTGGTCGATGAACTTCACAGAGTCTCGCGGGTTGTCACAGACGCTAGCAATGATGTTGGAGCAGCGTACTCTGCGTTGACCTGATGCCGTGGTGTAGAGAAGGGCGGATTGGAAGTGCGCGTCCAGCTTGGAGTCGAGCTTTCCATCGTAAGAGAATGTGACACCCATGGCCTTGTCGGCGTCGATAACTCCAATCTCGAGGTCTGCACCAAAGGTGTGGTGAATGAAGTTGCCGTGGTAGCCGTTAATCTGCAGCCCGTTCGAGCAGCGGACCTTCATGAGAGCCTGGAAACCGGTCTCGCGAGTGACCGCGTGCTTGATCTCCATCGACAGCTTAGTGTTGTCACGCTGACCGATAAAGTTGGGGTAGTAAAACGTTTCGCCGCCCGTTGAAGCCGCGATGTGGCCAACAGTTGCGATGTCAAGGTAACCGCCGGATGGTGAGGCGAGGAAGAAGTCGGCGCCGATACCGGTGGCGACCATCTTCTCAGCAACCTTCTTCCAGGCCGGGTGTTCCGTAGAGAAGAGCTTCTTGTCAATCTCACCGCCTGGGTGCTTGCCGTCGTCCCTAAGGAACAGACGGCCGGGGCCCCATGTGGGCAGCGCAGCCAAGGAGCAGACAATCTTTCCGCCAGTCTTCTCCAGTGCGGCAACCGCCGAGTTAAGAGTAGCTAGGAGAGCAGGCTCGGGATTCTTGATATTGGAGAACATGGTGGGAAGCATGGTGAGCAGGGAAGTGATGACAGCCCTGAGACTATTAGTCATGTCACTGTGGCCGTGAGTTTGGGAGCTTACTTGGACTCGTAAGGATCAACAAAGAGGCCGTCGCTCAGGGGCACGAAGGGGTCCTCGAGATCGGGCATGATCATCATCTGAGCTTGATCCAGGGAAGGCTTCGCCTGTCAGCGTTGCTTTTCAAAATCACAGACGAGCCACTTACGCTGACGTTGTAGAAGTGAATATCCTTGTCGTATGTCACGAAACCGACCTTGGCACCCTCGGGGATTACACGCTTTGGCTCGCCATTTTCGTCCCGCTCAGCATCCTCGCCACCGTAGAGCGCCGCGAGAACACCTTCGCAGAAGGACTCGATAAATCCCTTGTTGAAAGACTCCTGGGTGACGTCAATCACAAACAGCCAGCGGAGGCCTGTGGGCTCCTTGGTCCAGTACTCCTTAGGTACAACGAACTCGACGGTTCCCCTGGTAAGCTCGGGGCGCTGGTCGCGGTCTACTCTTACACCCTGGGGGGTGAGGGCGGAGAAGTATTCGGACGGGGTATCATTGGGGTATGTGCACAGGTTGCAAACGAACTTATTGCCGCCGGACCGGAACATCATGAAGGGGTTGATGTAAGCTCTGCAGCGGCGACATCTCGGGGGGCCAGACTCGCCAAAGTCGAGGACGGGAATCTCGAGTTCACCGGGCTGCAGGGGTGCCAGTGGCTGGAGGAGAAGACCCATGGGAAGGCCGGTCAGGGCGAGCCCCTCAGCACTCGCGGGAATGCTGTTCAACGTCAGGCGAGCGAATTTCGGCGAGGCATTGCCCTGATCGAAAGCAACGTAGGAGACGGTAGCTGGGGGAGGCAGGTGCTTCTCGAAGGTGGGGTAAACATTCGAGAAGTAGTGTTGCTGGAGGGAATCGCGGGACACGGGGACACTCGGTAGGTCATCGAGAGAGAGCTTCTGGTGTCCGCCGGTCTGGACGACGGCCGGGGGACCACCGGCATCGGCGCCGTTCCGGGTTGCGAATTCGGCCTGGGTCGCGGGGATACCGGGGGTGAAGGTTTGACCAGCCGCGGCCGGGAATTGGTTCATCGCAGGGGTAATCTGGGGGTTGACATATTGGGCCTGCGAGGGATCGGCATTCAAGAAGGCCGTGGCCGGGGTACCGGGGGGAGGCATGCCATTGAAAGCTTGCGAGGACCCTGTGGCCTCGACTTGGTGGTATGCATGGCGATCCTTCTTCTTCTTCCTCAGAGTGTTGTGGCCATCGCCGGGACCCAAAGACATGCCACCCATCTGCGCCGCCAAGTTCTCCTGGGACTGGAAACCCGGGCTCTGAGCGTAGGGCTGACCTTGAGGAGCGCCGTACGGTGAGCCTTGAGGCTGCGCCGAGCCGGGCATGGGCGGTTGGCCGCCATAGTATTGTTGTCCCGGCGCGGGAGGGGCTCCGTAGGGCGCGCCCTGCTGGTATGGCTGCCCCGCGATGGGAGGGGAGAACTGGGGAGGTGCCGGCTGTGTCGATCGGTTCGGGTTCGAGGGGTCCTGCTCGCCCTGGCCCAGGTGGTGATATGTGCTGAAGTCGGACATGGTTACAGGAGGTGTGCGGTGCTCGACTGCTCGGGGGTTGGCGTGATCCTAGGAATCGTTCTCGATGCTCGTGGTCGGGAGGATCGTATTAGGTGTGGGCAGCTACTGATGGAGGAGTATGTAGCTGAGCTGTAGTTGGAGCTATGGTGCCCGGTTGTAGTTGGAAATCGAAAGGGAGCTTCGCGGAGAGATTGTCGATATGTGCGCACGCATTCAAGAGTGCGCCATTCTCTAGGAACTTTCGATAAATGTCGTCGTTCGAGGGCCAGCCGACTTGACCAAATAAAAAAAAAGTAAAGTGACGGCTCGAATTGTGTCCCCTTTGCAGCAACACGCTTGTTGACCACGTATCGACAGGGATCTGGACCAAATTGACACGATAACTTTCCGATGCGTTTTTCCAGACCGATGAGCAGCGGCACCGAGGGGCCAGCCTGGAACTTTTCCATCCAATGCGGGAGCTTCAGCTGCCCCCCGTTGCACCTGCCACTTGCAAGAGGACCCCACTTTATGCAGCTTGACCGAGCTAGACCGCACTGGGAGCGGAAGAACTCACCGCCGCTCCGATCTCAGCAGGGCTGGCCCCACAGTGACGGATCTCTTGCTGGAGCTTCCGTGGCCCCTGCACCTGCTCTTCGCATTGAAGACCAGAGACCAGAGCATACGGTGCCTGGCAAGGTTCCGGGTACGTACCGCGTCTTGCAGCACCCGGTTCTCATGATCCTGGATTCTTTTACGCGACAGTCAAACCTCGACTCGCAGCTCGCTATTCGACTACAACACGCAATCGCTCGTCCTGGTCGCTGCGCCAGCAACATGGTCATCGCTTGACGAAGATCACTCGAATTACTATTTGCCATCATCGGTTGCAGTCAGACACTGGACGATGCATCGCGACCCTTGGCCATAAACAGCAAACATGTTTACCTTCTGCCCCCTCCAGGGCGCTCTTTCCGAGTCGTCGGCATCGCAGTCCATTCTCGAGCTTGATGGAGGTGTCAAGATCCTGATTGATCTCGGATGGGACGAGTCTTTCGATGTTGAGAAGCTGCGGGAGCTCGAAAAGTACCGTACCCTCTGCCGATTGAATGCGCTTCATGATACTTACACATGCCTACAGACAGGTCCCGACGCTGTCCATTATCCTCCTGACCCACGCCACGACGTCGCATCTCGCTGCGTTCGCACACTGCTGCAAGAACTTTCCTCTATTCACGCGCATTCCCGTGTACGCGACTCGTCCTGTCATCGACCTCGGTCGCACCCTCACCCAAGACCTCTACGCATCGACCCCTCTGGCTGCGACAAAGATCCCTCACGGTTCCCTCAGCGAGGCGGCCTACTCCTACTCCCAGCAACCGACCGGCGACAGCGACTTTCTCCTACAAGCGCCGACCCCCGAAGAAATTACACGATACTTCTCCCTTATCCAACCTCTCAAGTATTCGCAACCTCACGAGCCGCTGCCGTCCCCATTCTCCCCGCCCCTCAATGGTCTCATGATCACTGCCTATAATGCGGGCCACAGTTTAGGAGGAACGATATGGCATATACAGCATGGCTTGGAATCGATCGTCTATGCGGTGGACTGGAACCAGGCAAGAGAAAATGTCTATGCCGGTGCCGCATGGCTAGGAGGAGCGGGCGGTGGCGGTGCGGAGGTTATTGAACAACTACGCAAGCCCACCGCACTGGTTTGCAGCAGTCGTGGTGCGGAGAAAGTTGCCCAGGCAGGCGGTCGCGCAAAGCGTGACGAGCAGCTGGTCGACATGATCAAGCTTTGCGTCAGTCGAGGAGGCACTTGCCTAATCCCCGTCGATTCAAGCGCTCGTGTTTTGGAAATCGCGTATCTGCTCGAGCACACATGGCAGGTCGACTCCGAGACTGATGACAATTCTCTAAAGGCAGCCAAGCTCTACCTCGCTGGACGGAATATGTCAAGTACGCTCCGGTATGCGCGAAGCATGCTGGAGTGGATGGACGACAATATTGTCCGGGAGTTCGAATCAGTTGCTGACGGTCAGCGCAAAGCAAACGGCGCAGATGGGAAGACCAAGGAGGCTGTGCCCTTTGATTTCAGGTATCTCAAACTGGTGGAGCGTCGAGCGCAGATCGAGAAGCTGCTCTCTAGCAGTGGCGGCAACGTTCAATCGGAAGGCAGAGTCATTCTTGCGAGCGATGACACTTTAGAATGGGGCTTCTCTAAGGATTTGATCAAGGGTCTGGCAAAAGACTCCAGGAACCTCGTCGTCTTGACAGACAAGCCGCCAAAATCTCGAGCGGAACAGCCATCAATAGCAAGAACCCTGTGGGACTGGTGGACAGAACGTCAAGATGGCGCCACGGTGGAGCAGACGAGCAGCGGCGACAGCATCGAGTTTGTGTATGGCGGCGGGCGAGAGCTGGAGATTCAGGAGGCCAAGAGACAGGCCCTCGAAGGAGACGAATTGACCGTTTACCAGCAGTGGCTAGCAACGCAACGACAGCTTCAGGCCACACTGCAAAGCGGTGGTGGAGCATCATTGCAGGCACCGGCAGATGCAGCTGATGACGTTTCATCAGAATCCTCCTCAGACTCTGGCGAATCCGACAATGAGCAACAAGGAAAGGCTCTCAACATCTCAACAACCATGGGTCAGGCAACACGGAAGAAGGTTGTGTTGACGGACGAGGATCTGGGCATCAACATTCTGACAAAGAAGCGTGGTGCTTATGACTTTGACGTGCGAGGTAAAAAGGGCCGTGAACGTTCTTTCCCCTTGGTCATGCGCAGGAGGCGTGACGACCAGTTTGGAGATGTCATTCGCCCCGAAGACTACCTCCGAGCTGAGGAAAAGGAGGAAGATGTACCTGACACCGAAATGCGTGGCGACGATGACGAGGACCGACTAGGAAAGAAACGCAAATGGGATGATGCAAGCACCAAGGGCGCCAACAAACGCCAAAATGCAAAGACAGCTGGAGACGACCGGGATGGCACGGCAAGCGAGGATCATGTGGCTGATGAGCTGGATGACGTGGAAGACACTGTCGAGGAAGAGATACAAGGACCTTCAAAGTTGATTCTATCTTCAGAAAAGGTCCCAGTCAACCTGCGTATCGCCTTTGTCGACTTCAGCGGTCTACACGACAAGAGGAGTTTGAACATGCTTATACCACTAATCCAGCCTAGAAAGCTGATTCTGGTCGGCGGTACGACGGAGGAGACCACAGCGCTTGCAACAGACTGCAAGAAGGCTCTCGCTGCGCAAATCGGCGCATCAGAAGAAACCGTCGTCGATGTTTTCACCCCGTCCATGGGCACCTGGGTGGACGCTAGTGTCGATACCAATGCTTGGGTGGTCAAGCTGACGGACAGCCTGGTCAAGAAGCTCAAATGGCAAAACGTGCGGGGCCTCAGCATCGTCACAATTACAGGCCAGCTCGTAGCGGAGGCTCTGGCAAAGGAGAAGCTGGCGGAGAAGGACGACGGGGCCAACAAGCGGCAGAAGACGGAGGCGGAGGATGCCGATGCGGCCCAGGAAGACGCCGACGCCGAGGTCGAAGTCGTGCCAACGCTGGACCTGCTGCCGATGAACATGGCCTCGGCTGTGCGCTCGGTCGCGCAGCCGCTGCATGTCGGCGACCTCAGACTCACGGACCTGCGGAGGGCGATGCAGTCTGCGGGGTACACGGCCGAGTTCAGGGGAGAAGGCACGCTCGTCATCAACGGGGCCGTGGCGGTGCGGAAGACGAGCACGGGCAAGGTGGAGGTGGAGAGCGTGGGCATCACGGACGCTGCGACGATGATGCAGCACCGGAGCACATTCTACGAGGTCAAGCGGATGATTTACGACGGTCTGGCGGTGGTTGCTGGTGCCTAAAGAACGAGAAGTTGTTTTCGAGAATTGGGGATGAGATCTCTTGTAAGATTTAAAATACGGCTTTGCGGGCTTTTTTCGGAGGGGCTGGAATAGAACCGCCTTTAGACTTTTGGTCTTGACCTCAGCTTTGACACTCTTTTCTCGTGAAATTCGTATTTGTGATGAGGCAAGTCAGTTGTGCGAGTTGAACAGGTTTGTGTTGGAAACGTATGCGGTCTTCACACGGTGTTGGAATTTGATACTTGATAGAGAGGCTAATGTCCACGAAGAGTAACATATAAGTGAGGCTCCGTTACGTTGCCAGTGAAACTGAGATCTGCTTTTTACTGATTTGGAACTTTCAGCCTGAAGTTGCTATCTTGATATTAAAACGGATGGACTGCTGCTTCTATAACGTATGTGAAGAAACTTTCCATGGCTCATCCGGTAAGAGGCGACCTTGTAAAGTGTGGATCTGGACGCGTCGACCGAAACGAGGTGGCATTCCGGTTAAAATTCAGTCTGAGTGCGTCAAGTGTAGCGTGAACGATTTCTCGTTTGCTGTCATACTCTCCCTGCCGGGGCATTAGAGCCTAGCCTGACTAGATTTGACAGTGACGTTGAGGAAGTGCGGGAATTCAAGTCGGTTTCTGGAGAATTGCAACATACACGTTGTATATTGAAAAAAATATTACTCGAAGTCAGTAAATCATTCGATGTACATGGAAGCTCCAATGCGTACGTGACGCACTACATCTAAAAGCACACAAGATTATGTCACACCTTGTCGGACAGCACTGGAACGTAGTCTAAAGCGTATCGCAAGATGACCAGCTGGTACGATACAACCCCGAACCATTCGCAGCATCCTAACAGCCTAGGTTTTGTAGCTGGGTTAGCAGTCTGCGATGTCACTCAAGACAGGCGAGAGATGTCAGAATGGGTAGAACTGCCGTCATTTTGGATGCCTCATCTTCTTTGCGTCTTTGATATGGAATCATGTTTACGCAGTCGCGGTCTTCTTTCATAGGATATGGAATGCAGGACAGAGGGCACTTATCCTGGTGGCTAGATGCACAGGCAAGACTTGTCGACAGGGGCTGAAGAGGATCAAGAACATCCTTCCGGAGGAGTCTCGAACGCTCGACGATCGGCTTCTTTAGCTTGTCTGTACATGCTCATGCGAGTGGCATAACGCGTCAGTTCTCACTTGACAACACCATTCTCGGCTCCTCCTTACTGACTTCTCGACAGCGTTGAAAAGCTTCTGCAGTTTGAAACCTGTCTCCCGGACATCTCAGGGCCGTCCTCATTACGAGGGAGAAGATATTAGCACGGTGGAAGCAGCGCTTGGTAACATCTTCCGTTGGATCACGTTGACGAGAATATATAACGGTGTACTTATGGTTGGCAAGGACGAGAGACACCAACTCATCGACAGCCATAGAAACAAACGTGAACGTATCTGACTTACATGTTCCAATAGCGTCAAATGCATAGACTTCTAAGCTAACATCTACTTCATGTTGTTCTGCACCGCTTCGCTGCCTCATCTGACTCTGCAAATGCGGTCTGAAGAAACAGCCCAGGCATTCGGTATTGCAACCTGCGCTGGATCACTTTGCGTAAGCCGGGACCGTCCTGGCGGATTCATGGTTAATCCCCAACGCTACGACCAGACCTTTCAGATATGTCTGCTCCCACGACGGAAAGGAAGCTTACGATCCCATCCGGTGGGATGGGAAACAGTGCTAACTTCGTCCCAAGAGAACCAGCAGGATTTGCTCTTCGGTCCAGTTCGCATGTAAGGAAATCCCTGGTAGGCACGCATCTACGTCCAGAATTACGGAAGAGTTCCGACGCAAGAGAAAAAAAAAACCACAAGATGAGAACGACAGTTGGTCGCATGGGCATGCAAAAAGGGTAGCGCGCCCCTTCCCGTGCCGCGCCACGAGGGGGGGCGGGTGCGGGTGCGGTGTCGTGGTTCCTCGGCGGCGGCGCTTGGCGGGCTGTGCTGGAAGGGGTTCATCCTTGGTGGGGGAGGTTGAGGTGAGGAGTAGTCAGCACGGTCGAAGAAAGGAGGCATGCATGGGGGCGGCGGCGGCCCATTTCTACGTCACGGTATTTTTGGGAGTTGGTTGATGCGGCTTGATGCCATCATCACATGGCTTTCAGTCCTTACATGAAATGATTAGGCGGGCGTTGTAGAGCCTCTCTCCGTTTAGGCAAGGTACATGCTCTCGCGGAAGCATAGGCACGAGTGGTGGTTGATTGCTTGGGCGGTACGGTAAGCCTGATTCATGACGATGCGCGGCGGTGACCTCATTGCGTGTTTCCCGAGGGCTCACGTTGCAACGTGCGTTGCGTGTTGTGTGTTCTGGCGATCCGGGAAATTCAGGGAAAGGCGTGTGTCTTTGGGTAGGTAGGTACTGCAAGCTAGAGCCAGCCCATCAGGGCCCGCGGCGGTACGACGTCACGGATCGGCTTATCACGCTGCACATCTTTATTATACCTACCACAGGTTTCTTTCCTTTTGGCGGTCTGGAGGGGGGGGGGGGGGGGGGGCGTGGGGGATGGATGTGGCCGGTTTGGACGACAATCATGGGCTGTGCGTGGGCGGTTGGTGATGAGTTGTCAAATGCACCGGTGAGTTGTTTTGACGGCGTTTAGTGGCACGCTCGAGTTTCATGAAGTATGTTGTCCGCATTGGATGGCAGAATGTAGCACAGTTTTTTTTTTCTCTTCCTCTCTGTTGGTGGCATTTTTCATCGACAAGAGTTGCGGAAATAGAGCGCTCCCTGCGGTTCTTTGCGCGGTCAGGGATGCGATGACTGTACCTGTTGAGGGTGCCGGGTTGATGCTGTATGGTGCTCGGATGAAGATTTCATTGGGGGGTGCTCACCGTTCACCGGACCGGTGTGGGAGCTTCCTCCCCTTCCCCCCCTGGGATGTATATTGTGCGTCCCGGCAGCCAGGTAGGGAATTTAGGATTCGCAAGGAGAGATTTCACAGCCTCAAGCCGGGTTCGACGGGACCCAGCTTCGAATGAATAAAAAGTGAGTTGTTAGAAAAGGATAAAAGGACGACGACCGAACGGCCGGGCCACGGGGTGCTCGGGTTCCCCGTGCCCCGCGGCTGCGCTAGCGGTTGCGGCTTACCTGAGATATTTCGATTGTGGATTGTCGTCGTTCTTCTTGCGTTTCTTTGAGATTGGTGACTTGTGTGTTGCGTGTTTTGCTGCGGGAGATTTGTGTCTTGGTGTCTTGGTGAAGGTGGTTCGTTACTATTTTCAAGGCCCGAGACTGACGCATGCGTTCCCGCATTTTCAAGTCCTGATGTGTTCTTTATTTATTGACTGGTTGGACTCAGGAGTGACTGCGACAGCCAAAGGGCAACGGAGGTATCGGTACAGGAGGTTCGACTTCGAAGGTACGGATACTGGTTGCAGGCGGATACCAGCAGAGAGAGTGGTAATGAGGGTCCCCGCTATGCAGGAGGGAGTTTCCAGCTGCGCAGGGGTCGAAGGGGCCCGGCTTCTGAGGGGGCGGAATGCAGGTCGTTGATATTAAGGTGCGTACGTGATGGGATTGGCGAGGGATAGGAGGTGTCACGCGTCAACGCATTGCGGGCTGGGGGATTGCGGCTCCCTTTTTGAGGCCCATGTGAAGATGATTCAGGTAGAGGGCGGGATGGGGGATTGATGTTCAGACGTTTCTTGGGAATTGAGATGAGGGCTGCCGGGATGTGCATGATTGAAGTGAGGGTGATTTCGAGCAGCAGCAAGATGAGAAACGTGCCCCCATCCACGAGCAAGACATGCGAGGTCGCTGTGCCGCCGCCGCCGCCGCCGCCAACTCGATAGACTGCGAGAGGGAGCAGCCAAACAGGAGACAATGTCGCAGCCGTTGGCTAAGGCTTCTTAGTGAGTGAGCGATGGCAGTTGGCAGGTAGCGGTAGGGGTCGGTATCTGCATGGTGTGCTATGAATAGTGACAGTGAGAGATGATGAAGATGGAACCGCATATGCATGTAGGTACGGCGCACCACGACGCGGGGTGGGCGGCCCATCTGAAGTGGACTGAACGGTGGACGTCGAGTCCTTGTACAGATCTTCAACGGCGCGATGGTGCCCCCGAAGATTTACATAATACAACGGGGACGAGAAGCGGCGTTGATAGCGTCGCGCACGCAGCACGCAGCACTTCTTGTGTCTTTGATACTGAGACTGCCTTTGTGGGTTCCATTGAAAGAAGAATCCAAGGGGCTTCCGCCGCAGGGCTGCTTCGAGTCGAGGCTTGGCAGCTTGGGTGTTGTATTCGCTGTATTCGTCAAGATTGGGCGCGGGCTTGTCCGAATTTGACCCAGTTGGCCGGAAACACGGCGTTGACGGCGTCTTGGGGCCTGGGCTGGGCGGGACCGGATTGGCCACGGGACGTGCAGTGCTCGTTGGCTTCGCCGGCCAGAGCGAAGGGCGATGGCGATACCGCAGAGAGGTATCAGTAGAGAGGTACTCTGTAGCCTGGCTGCTAGTGAAGTCTAGGTTGTGTGAGCTGGCGGTGGTTGGCTTCGTTTCGGGGGGCTGACGATGGCGGGCTAAACGACGGCTGGCTTGCGTCCCGGGCGGCCCCAAATGATGACAGATGACCTTGCTGGAGCTCTCATCTCTGAATACGTGTATTCGGGAGGGAGGGAAGACGGTGGCCTCCAGCAGACGGGGACAGGAAATGCTTCTGGAAGGTCGATGGCAGAAAGCGGCGATGGTGGTTGTGAGTGACGGGAGTGAGTGACATTGGATGGGCGATGGACTCATTTCCCAAGCTCCAGCCCCCCCGAAAAAAGACTCAAGGGACGCTGGACGGTGGACGGCCAAGCCTCGTTCGGCCCAGGTGCCCTTTGCGCTGTGGCCAGTCAGGGTTGTCCATCTAGCCCTTCATTTGGTTTTTTGCGGGCCGACAAGTATCGCCCTGCTAGTTTAATATGGAGAGATACCTCTTCCCCGCCCGTCACTGCCTGTTCTGTCCCTGTGCCGTCTGTCTGTCCCGCCCTGTCCCAGTGGAGTCCCGTCCAGTCTTCGTGCGGTCTCCTGCCTCCTTGCCGTCTCCCTCTGCCGCCCCTGGGCTGGCCCCATCGTTCCCCGTCCAGCGCCCACGTCGGCCCTTCAGTGGCTCTCAGTGGTTCCCCCCGACCTCTCACAGTGGACGCACCGGGTCCTGTTCCTGTCTCTCAGCGCCGCTTGCCCCTGTATCCTTGGCTCAGTGTCTCTCGTAACCCACGCAACAACGCGCGCTCATCGTCAAAACCTCTGTCCCCCAGCTTTTCCTTCCCATTCACCAAACCACCACACCACACCACACCACCACTGCAACCACCACCACCTGCCAACTTCCTCCTGTTATCGACCAACCTCAAAGGAGCCATGCGTACCCTCGCCGCAGAGACATGCCCGATCCATTGATTTATCCTCCTCCGTCTCGATTTTCAATCCGCTCCGTCTTCACCACCACCGCTCCAGCTGCCATCGTCGCCCACTCTGCCCCAGCCGCGAGAACGAGCACGACGGCGACGCATCGGGAGCACCTTTCCATCCCCATCCCTAATCTCCGATCCTCTGCCCGGAACGAGGCCTCTCGCAATCGATCCTGCCAGGCACGATAACGGCATCGCCTATTCTGCTCTACACAATACTGTCAACGATACCCAACCGACCAACGATACCTACGAACGGCCGCCTCTGCATTTTACTTTCTTCCCGTTTTTCAGGTCTCCAAAGCATGTGCTGAGGTCTCGCTCAGCATTTTTCCTTCTCTCTGCCGACTAGTAAACGAAGCCAACCACACGAAATCCTCATTCCCACCCCCGACGACGCTTCAGGGACAGACACCAAAAGACGACGTCGCTCACAATAGCAGTAGTCGTTGACCCCCCGTCACATCCTCCACTCCTACTCTCCTTCCGTCTGTCCTCCCGAGCGTCTCGAACCCCGGCCGACCGACCATGCCCACGTATCTTACCCGCGAGAACGACCCCATCTACTCGCCAAACTCGGACGTTCTGGATCTCGACCCAAACCACACGCTTGACCTGTCTGGTCACAAGCAGCACCCAATTAATGGGTTTACCCACTCCCTGCCCCTTCGTCCCTCCCGTTCAAACAACCTCCATGATAGTTTCGACGAAAGCTCAACGTCGTCAACCCACGCCTCCGACGTCTCTGATTCCATCCCCACGCAGATGAATGGGACGAGGCCGACTAGCATGAACTCGTTGCCCAACGGCTCGGCAGGGGCCGGAGGAGGCCAAGACTTTGATTATCACGACACCGACTCCCGCCACGACTATCAAAACAATCACTCCGATTACAGAAACCACAAGCACCCGCTGCAAAATGGCGCGACCATCGCCATGCCCGATCGCACCGCGCCCCCGCCGCCAATCAAGGTCGTGAGGAAACCCGCATCCGACACAGACAACTCGAGCTCTACCGATGCCTACCTGACGCCCCCGTCAATTGCATCCCCCGCCGCCGGCTCGATTGATCACACAATAAAGACGAATGGAACGAGCAGCCCCAACTACGCACCCCCGCCGATCCCCTCCCAGAGCAACGCGAACGGTTACACGACGCCGGCAACCGCCGTCAGCACCTCATCTCTGTCCCCTAATCTGAACAGCTACAACAACCCCCAATCGCCGCAACGGTTCTCCTCCCCGCCCCTATACCAATCCGCCGGCGCGACACCTAATGCATCCACATCGACGGGGCTGCAACCGCCAAACCCCGGCCTCAAGCACCGACATACGCTCGAGGTTCCGGGCACCCAGTCCAACCGCGGATCCAAGGATGGGTCCGACGCGGCATTCTCGAGTGGCCGCTTCTCTCCCACTTCTCACACGAGCACCACGCAAAGAGTGCGTAGGGCATCGCTGAACTTGGTGCGGAGAGACACCCGATCCATGCAATCCGATGCTCCCCGCGACGAGGTTGTTCCGGACGACGATGCTCTGCGATGGGCGGAGCACTACAGGCAAAAGCGTGCGAGCAAGAGGAAGAGGAAAGAAGAGGAGGATGACGACAGGGTACTTGTGGGAACAAAGGTGGACGAGCACCACGCCAATTGGGTGACCGCCTACAACATGTTGACCGGCATCCGTGTCTCCGTCTCTCGAACGAACGCGAAGTTGGATCGTCCATTAACGGATGCTGATTTCGACGCGAAGCAAAAGTCGACTTTTGACATGTACGTGCCTTTTACCACAGCCTTTGCTCATACGCTAACGTTCGCAGCGCCGGTAATGAGATGGTTCCCTCGGCGAAGTACGATTTCAAATTTAAGGATTACGCCCCGTGGGTTTTCAGACATCTGCGCAATCTCTTCCGTCTCGATCCGGCCGACTACCTGATGTCGTTGACGGGCAAGTATATTCTTTCGGAGCTTGGGTCCCCAGGAAAGAGTGGCAGCTTCTTTTACTTTTCCCGAGACTACAAGTACATCATCAAGACCATCCACCACGCCGAGCACAAGTTTCTGCGCAAGATCCTCAAGGACTACTACCACCACGTCACCGAGAACCCGAACACGCTGCTGTCGCAGTTCTACGGCCTGCACAGAGTCAAGATGCCATACGGAAAGAAGATTCACTTTGTCGTCATGAACAATCTCTTCCCTCCGCACCGCGACATCCACACTACGTTCGACTTGAAGGGATCTACGATCGGCCGCGACTATAAGGAAGACGACCTTGACAAGAACCCACGAGCGACTTTGAAGGATCTGAACTGGCTGCGACGACAGCGCCACCTTGAACTCGGCATACAGAAGAAGAAGCTCTTCCTGGAGCAGCTGCAGCGGGATGTGGTACTGATGAAGAAGCTCAAAATAATGGACTACTCTCTTCTTATCGGCATCCACGATCTCAACAGGGGTAACGAGGAGAACCTCCGCGGCAAGACGCTTCAGGTATTCAACCCGGGCGGCGAGAATACAGGGGAGGATGGCGAGCCTCCGTCGGTGCTCTTGCGCACGCCCTCTAAGTTGGAGAATGCGCGCAAGGCTAGGGAGCTGAGGCAGATGATTCGACACGAGCGTCCGATACCCATGGGCGAGGCGGCGACCCAGATGCCCAATGAACTTGAGGAGGGGCACAGCCGGTCAAACTACATCTTCAACCAGGACGATGGCGGTTTCCAGGCAACCCACGAGGACAATTCGCCCGCCGAAGAGATCTACTACCTGGGCGTCATCGACTGTCTGACTCACGTAAGTTGGCCCGCAGTGTTGAGTGAGTTAAGCTGACCATTGTAGTACGGAATGATCAAAAAGATTGAGCACTTTTGGAAGGGTCTTACCAGCGATAGGACGCAGATCTCCGCCCTTCCCCCTGAACAGTACGGTGATCGGTTCTACAACTTCGTGGAGGGCATCACGATGTCTCCTGAGGAGGCGCACAGGGAAGCGGCGCGGAAGGACCAGGAACAGGCAGAAGCTGCAGCGGCTGCTGAGCGTCAGCGCGTCGCCAGCTGGAGTTCCAGCTTGCGGCGGCGATCCACAGCGAACAACATTCCGCCAATGCCCAATTATCAACCTCCGCCAACGCCGCCGGAAGGTGCGAGATCTCCTGAAGCCCGCGAAACTGTCGAGCGCGCCAACCAGGAAGCTCGTCGTACCGAGAGACACGGGGCATCGGAGGCCAACGTGCCCGAAATGGTGTTGACGACAAAATCGGGAGACCGTCGGGAGTCGGGGGGCCAGGGGGCGCCCATCCTGCCAGTTGTTGAGGAGACGGCCGAGGCTTCGTCTGTGGGTGGTCGCAGCCGTGACGGAGACGATTACCGACCAGCAACCCCGGCTAAGACGAGCATGGAACGGAGACTTGCTAGTCTTCGGGACTACGCGCCTCCAACGCCGCCCAAGGGCCACCACCTCAAGCCCGAGAGTCAAGATAGCGGTTACGGGGCGCTCCCCAACGGCAATGGATCTATGAGCCGCGAAGACTCGTTGCGACTCAAGTCTCGCCTGAGCAAAGAGTCTCTCAACAAGGACCTGCCTCCTCTTCCGAAGGAGGCCGCCGGCGAGAGCCAGTTCCGCGTGGGGCTTGCGTAGGGCGCTACCCTTTTACGGAAGAAGAATCGAGGAATTCGGGTCGTGACGACAGGTGAAGTTCAAAAGCAAGGGGGCGAAGCAGCAGAAGCAGCGGAGGGATCGACAAAATCACAATTGCATCAACGGGGTCTATGACAATTCTGCAAGCTCGTTCAATGAGGTCTCACAGCGACCAGAGGCAACAGAGAGCCGAGACGAGCCACAGAGCTTTTTACTAGTGTTTTCTCACATGGATGATACCACCATTGCATTAAGCATGCTTCTTCTTTTTTCTCCTTTTTTTTTTTTCTCTTTTCCCTTATTAGTTGTTTTTTCTCTTGTTTCTCCATACAGAAGTCATACATACAGGTCATCACGTAAAAAACCATTGTGGAGTGACGACCCGAGGCGGTGGATATGGGGTGAGGGCTGAAAGGGAAAGACTCATGGGTTAAAACGGTATTCAGAGGCGGTTTCCTCCCATCGTACGGTTGGTCTCGTCCAGGTAGCAAAATGGAAGAGTTGATTCTCATTGAATGCGCCATGCTTGTGACGGCAAGCTTTTGTTTCATGAATACATTATATTACACATGTCCCTTCGTCCCAGGGCATCGATGGTGTTGTACAAGAGAGATTTGGTATCAAGTGGGTGGTGGGTGATGTCGGGGACGGAGGGACTTTGTATCGACAGGGAGAGAGGCTGATGCTGGTTCTACTGCCTCTTGGACGCCAGCATGTCTTGCAGATCGGCCTTGCTCGTGCCCTTGGAGTTGTCGGCGAAGGTGGTGGTCACGTCCATCTTGATGGCGTTCTCGGCCTCGAGCTGCGCTATCCGCTCCTTCTTGGCGATGTCGGCTACGCGCCATTGCTTGAAGTATTTGACCTATTGTCATGGGGTGTTCAAGTCAGCGAGCTAGCTTCTCGGCAGGGGGAAGACGTCCGGGGACGTGAGGAGAGGCAAGAGAGGGGAGGACTCACCCACGCAGCGGCACAATCCCGCTCAAAGTCGGCGTTCTGCGTCGGGCATGCCTTGCGGGCCTGGCGGTCGTCCTTGAGGGCGTCGACGATGTTGTTGGCGTCGAGGCAGCCGAAGTAGGCGTCGCGGGCGTCCCAGCACTTGCGGCGCTCGCTGCGTTTCGGGGCGACGGCGCCGGAGCGGACTTCCTCTGCGCGGCGGTCCTCGTCCGACTTTGTGGAGAAGAAGCCCATCGTTTCGTTCTCTATCGGCTGTTTCAGGGTGGACGATATTCTCGGTGTTCGATGTCGAATTCGGAGACGGAGGGGTTCGCGGGGGTTTGTGTGGTATGGGTGTTGGAGTGGCGACCGGCGTTTCTTTGGTGATGTCGGCGCGGATGGAGGGGCAGAATTCTCCCGGGCGGGCGGTGAGTGCGGACGGCAGCGTAATGCGAATTGTGAGGTCTGGTAGTGGGGGCCCGTTGCTTCCGCGCCTGTTCAGCCTCAGCCTTGTCCCCTTTGGGCGCTAGCGCCGGCTTCGACTGTGGCTTCGACGATCCCCTGACGTGGCAGGTACTTGCTTGGAACCTTGGAAGCTTTCCTTGCTGCTACGGTTTCCAGAAGCTCGGGCGCGCTGTGGCGCAAACTGGACACACCTTCCATCCCGCTGACGCTGCTGCTGGCTTTGCTTCGCATACCTCTCGGGGTCCGGCGGGCCGTTTTTCTGCTACATTCAACCAACTTTTACGCTTCTTTGTTGCTTTAGACTGGGGTTTAGACTCTTCTTTGATTACCGTTCCAAATTAGGGAGCAAGGGCGCAAAAACGCAAAAAGACAATAGGCCGCCCTTTTTTTGATATGCGACGCCGGTAGCGAGATTCGGAGCGCCGTTGGCCCATCTTAAACTACCCGTTCCCCCCGGCTTGCCCATCCCTGGGGAACGAACGACACCCACGAAAGGCAACCTATTCTTCTTCCCACAAACAACGAACAAGACACGCACACGCCGTACCGCAAGCTTGACATAACTTCCGCAAGAAACAAGATCGAATACATACACGCACGCACCCGAGCCGAGACCTCTGCGTCACCGAGACAGAAACGATGCCCCGCCGTCGCAAGCCGCCCCGGCCAGGCGCCCTCGGCGAGCTCCCGCCGCTCCGCATCGCGTCGCAGATCGCGGCGCTGCAGGGGCTGTACTACGCCGGCGCGCTGGTGCTCATGCTCTTCACGGCGCTGGTGGCCGGCACGCGGTTCAGCATGGAGCTGGTGTTTGGGTGGGAGGCCGTGAGGGGGGACACGACGCAGGGCTGGCTGAGCGCGTTTGTGTGGGTTCTCGACGGGGGGCTCTGCATGTGAGTTTTTGCCTTTGCTTCTGGGGTTCCCGGGGAGGAGGCAGATATGCGTGCGGATTTTGGCTGACTTAGGAACAAACAGGGCCGTCGCAATCATCGTCCTGATCGGCCGCTCTAAACTCGTGCCGGACTTCGCGCTCACCATGCACGGGCTGCACCTCGTCGTCTCGTCGCTGTACACGGGCCGCGTGCCGCGGAACATGATGTGGTGGGGCGCGATGGCGAGTAGTTCGGCGATATGTGTTGCGCTGGCGGTTTGGGGGTCGCGGTACCGCGAGCTGCGGCCGATTTCGTTTGGTGGGCATGCGGCGGGTGCGGCGACAGGAGGCAGCGCAGAGGGACAGCAGAATGGGGCTGCTGGAGGGGACGAGGAGGAGGGTGTTGGGTTTGGGAGGGGAAGAGGGAGGGGGAGGGGACGGGATGGGGAGGGGGGGTATGAGATGGTTGGTATCGAGAGGAGAGATTCATGACGAAGGGTGTGGTGAGAGGGCATGATGGCGTTTTTGGGGTTTCTGTATGATTATTGTATGTTGTGGCGATGATGAATAGACCCTTTCTTGTGGTTCGAGTTTCTGAATGGGTGGTGTGGGAAGTTGGCTTGGGGCTCGGTGGGATGTCCTGATGAAGTTTTGGAATGTCTGCTCTCTTGTTCAAGGGGCGTGGATGTCTGCGGCTATGAATGACGGTCTGCTGAAGTCTTCTTCGAGACTCTCTATCTGCGGAAGAGGTTGGCGCCGTTGACGTTCAAGGGGTCCAGAAGGGAACTCATTACTTGTTGGCACGCTCGTCCACAAGCCCCTCGTGGAGTTAGTTCGTCAGGGCTCCCTTTCAGTCATAGTCATCTTCAGAAGCCCGACGGAACTTGCTGCCGTGAGCAACGGGCATGCTCATATTCAAGGCGCATGGCCGAGGCTGCTTTTAAACCACGCAATCAGACTATCATCAGCTGTCCTTTAAAGGAAGTAAAGACTGTATAAAGACTGTGTTGGGGGTGCGGAAAGCTTTTAAACCAAACAGCTCCGTCACTTGTCGATTCTTCTGCCTCCAAGTATCGATATGGACGCCACCAGTTCCGCCTAAGCTCCAGCTTCGGGCATCGTCCACTAGCCACTGCGTCTTCACTGAGTCAAATTCGCTCAGTCATGGATCGATTACGTGTACTATTGACACGTTGTCTCCCTGTCTATATATTCCTTGGACACACAAAAGGGGCGGATCATAGGTGAGAAGAGCTACTTTGGGTAGACAAGGAACGGAGCCTGAGTAAGTGGGAATGACGTTGATATTTAGCGAGCTAGGAAATCCATTTGGTTAGGACGCCATGGATCTCCTCTCTTCCAGGCACAGACGCGATTTGTATCGCGTTCTTGCCGTCGAATCTTGTTGCTTCAATATCGGCCCCGCAAATTAGTAACATTCGAACGATACCTCCGTGACCAAGACGGACTGCCAGGAGCAGCGGTGTTTGTCCGAACTTATCTTCCTTCGCTTCTATGTCGACCCGGTACTCCAGCAGTACTTGAACCACGGCCTCGCGACCATGCCTGGTGGCGACCAGCAACGGTGTTTGCCCAAATTGTTCTTTCGCCTCTACATCCTCAGGAGACGAGAAATCGCAAAGAAGACGGGCAATGAGGCCGTATCCTCGGCATGCGGCGACTAACAGCGGACTATAGCCTCCTTTTACTGTGGATTTGAGATCCGCCCCAGCAAATAGTAGTTGTTCCACGATAACTTCATGTCCCATCGATGTGGCAATAAGCAGTGGATCCCAACCATCTTCCTCTTTTGCTTGGAAGTCAGCTCCTAGTTTGAGTAAAAAGTCGACTGTTGACTCGTGCCCATTTGCCGCCGCATGGAGCAATGGTGTCCAGCCGTGTCCGTCTCTTTTGTCAATATCGGCGCCGCTCCCTGCCAAAATTGAAACAATGTCGTCTTGCCCTATCATTGCGGCGATCGAGAATAAACCGACGGTGTCACGTTCCGCGTCTGCAGCCGAAGCACCATTCGTTAGTAACTTGTTGACAGTACTACTATGACCACCCATTGTGGCTCGTAACAGCGGTGTCCATTCCATGTAGTCCCGGCCGCCTACGCTGGCTCCGAATTCAAGCAGCATAAGCGCAACTCTACAGTCTTCGTTTGCGGTCGCTATGTGTAGTGGTGACATACGCAAGCTGTCTATTGCGTTGAGGTCGGCTTCTGATCTCACAAGCAGGTGAACCATGTCGAAGTGGCAATGCATCGCAGCCAGGTGCAGCGGTGTCCGCCCTTGTATATCTCTCGCATTGGCGTCAGCTCCATGGTTGATCAACAGCCTATATACAGACTGTTGGTCCTGCTCCACAGCATACATCAACGGCGTGCGATAATGGCTGTCTCTCGGATCTGGAATGCTATTCTGCAACAGGAATATTGCAGCTTCTTCCAACCCAAAATAAGCTGCCAGATGAAGGCCACTTATGTTATTGGGGATAGTCTGGAAGTAATTTGATTGTTGGCTTGGAAGCTGCGACATCATAAGGGCCTGGCCGGCCGCCTGCACCGCAGATTTTGCCGACAGAAAATCTACTACCGCTGAGGAAGAATGCAAAGACTCGCGAGCATGATGGCCCCAATTCGACGCAGCGTAGCTGTAAAATGGGTATGATCCGAGACGCTCCCGGAATTCGCTATCGGTCGAGCAGGGACCGGTATCAAAAGTTTCAGATGAGACGCAGGCAATGCAGACAAGGGCTAACTGCTCTCCTGAGTCCTCTCCAGCAATCTTATCATCTTTTTGATGTAGTCAGAAGAGTTCCCTGACTGCGTAATGAGAAAGAGAAATGCTGCGATCGCGACGATCAATTTCAAGGAGGCCTACAGAGGCCTGGATGATATCGTTGACGTCTGGCTGGGCTTCCTCTGGAGATGTTGCGAAGCACATGGAGATCGCATGCTGCAACTCAATGTCTTTCAGCTTCCTTCTTGAGCCAGCAACTAGGCACATTGACTTCATGGCTAACAAGCGCCGGTAATCATCTTGGGACTCGATTCGTCGCAATGATTTCTGAAATAACCCGCTGCAGTGACTACTGTCAGCATGGTCTGTTGCAAGCATCTCCCAAATGCTGTTTTCTACCCAATCTGCATCACCGGTATTTGCGAGATTTTCGAGTCTATCTAGGCGTCCCTGTGCTAGTAGAAACCTGCTTTGGGTCAGAACGTTATCAAAACACTCTTTATGTTGTTTCTTCTTTCGGTACGAGAATTACTCACATGCCGTCAACTTGGTGAATAACCCAGTTTTCTACCTCCTCTTGCAGTTCGGTATCTTCCCTGATTTGGGATGGCAATTGCGGCATTCTGTGCTCAACCAGTTTCCGCATATCTTCAGCAGTCGCACAGCAATCGATCTGTGTGCTGTCTTCGAACCCGCTGGGGACATTCATCTCTTTTGATCTCATAGAGAGGAAGCTCTTTGTAGTGTCTCTCGAAGTCAGAAAGATGTTCACACCACACACTTCCTGTAGTTTCACCAACTCCGACAGAAATTCAAATTGACCTCTGTGGACTTCCCCTATTTCATCAATCGCGTCAACTATGATGAAGACTCTCGAGTATCCCTCCGCTACACGCTCGAGTATTTGGCCAACTGCTGAGATGGAGTCAGGCACACTGGAAATATCTTGCGTGTTGTAGAGAAAGTCCCTCGCAGGGCTTATTGAAGGGATATGTTCGGCCAATTGTTTGAGTATGTTTGCAAGTAGACAATACGCGTCGTCACCTGCGCCAGGTTTGGTTTTGTCCTGGTTGCAGTACGCGAAGGCGACTCCAACTGTTGTGTCGCTACCGAAGTAGTCAACGACATGGTCCACCACAGCGGAAGTTAGGATAGTCTTCCCAGAGCCTGGAAATCCATGGCAGGAAAAGGTCTGACTAGGTCTAGAAAGCCATGTATGAAAATCATCAGTGTCCAGTAGCCATCGATATGTTCCTGGGCATCGTAAACGCGAGAGTTCGCGCTGAAGAATCTCGTAGTCGTCAAGTGCAAGCGATTCCAGTATTGTAGATCGCTTCTCTCGAGGCCTTCTCTGAGAGAAGCCTTCGGGAAGTTTCTGTGCAGGCGCTGGGGTTGTGTCAGCGCCCTCTGAAGAAAGCTCAGGTACAGATCGGAGCTTGGCTGTCAAGAATCGGTGAAGAACGTCATCGTGGGCGCAGTATTCCCTAGTCAGGCCCAAATTACCGAAGCGAGGCGACTCTGGGAATATTTCGATCCAGAAATCTAACGCATCAGGTTCGCTGGCGTTTTCCGACTGTGGTATCGCCAGCTCCCTCGCCATCTCATGAGCATATTTGGGTTGGTCTTTGCAATCGCAATTGTCTCGATCGCAGATCGTTAGGAACTCCGAGTTGTTGAGACTACTATTTTCACCTCTCTCGCGGGAAAAGACAGAGCTCTGAAGATCATTGTCGTCGTCAAAAGCATCCTCACGGTACGGTGGAAGAAAGAGAGCAATGTCTTGCATGTGCTGTCTGATATGCCTCCGCAGTTCATTTTGCGCCTCAGGGGCACTGGGAGACGGAAAACGCTTCTCGAGCGCGTCTGGATATCCACCGCAAAAAGGACAGCCGTCGAAAATAAATGCCCCTTTACGTTTGGCAGACTTCCTCATGACGGCTAGGTTCTCGTCGGAGACATGACCTCGTTGCGCAATGTGCTTCTCGAACTCCTCTTCGCTGAGTTCCTGATGTTCTCCGCTAGGAAGGTTCACATGGAATCGTTCCTCAACGTGGTCTTGTAAGTGGTGCAATAAACCGTCAAAGTGATTGGGCAGGTCAAAAGGCTTCGTGCACTGCTCGACAGGGCAAAAGTAGGGTTCAAAATCTTGCATGACATTCTGGCTATGTAATTTTTACGGTCAGTGAGAGCAAGTCTTGGATCGGTGCTACTTTACTCACCTCCAGCGGGCCATTTCCGCTTCAGCTGCGCGGAAGTCAAGGCGGCAATACGGACACTGGAAGCTGTGGCCAGTAATCTTTGGAGGCGGTGGAAAACCAGGATGGCGCAGAGCAATGGACACCACGCTCTCTGCCCTCTCTTGTCGTCTCTCAACAGATCTCTCCAGCTTCGTTCTTTCAGTGGCGGAATATATAGTCTGCTGGTCTTTTGGGCGCTGCTCTACGGCGGGAGTCGAAGTTTTAGGAGCTTCTGTTCCCTTCATCGTGGGAACCCTGGAAAAGTCGCCGTCACTTTCGATCTTTCCTTCGGAAGCTCGATGGCTCGTTTCTTTTGGTGCTCTCTTAGATAATCGAAGCGTGTCCTTCGTCTTGCAAATGACTCCGCCATCCTATGAAATAAGACGTCTGACGCCAGGGGAAACTGAACTTTCGCTTTTCGATACGCGATCTCTTTATAGCCCTCGTAAGCAAATCTCGGGCCGTCTTTCTTAACATAGAGCTTGATTCTTTCCCGTCTATGTTTAGCTCCCGCTTTGTCGATCTCTAAAGCGTGCCCATGCAGACGGTCGATTGTGTCTTCGACGTGCTTTCTCAATAGAAGAGCCTGCTTGTCCTCTATTGTGGCGTCTTCACTGCTTTTTTTGAATTCAGTGCCACTGAGGGAAGAGAGTGAGTCGAACGAGAGTGAAGAGCTATCCGATGCGGAATCCGAATCGTTGATTTCAATCTCGGATTTATCCGCATGCTGAACATCGTTGGCAGGTTGCTGAACTTCTGTAATTTTTTTCGCGATGATTAGTCTTGATGAGTTTGCTCAAGTTCAGTAAAGACGTACTTTTCAGATCGATTTGAAGTGAACTCAACAAATCTCTAATGATAGCACAGGTTTCGGGTACGTCTTTGAGACGAATATCGATCGATCTCAGCCCCTGACCATGTACGCCAACCTTGACGCACCACAGGTTGAATTCGGTGTATTGTCGAGACGCCCAGTGGCCTTCTCTAGAAGTAATCTCCTCAGCTTGCGCATTTTCCTTGAGTAAAAGCGCTTCCAGAATGTTAGCACAAGTTTTGGCAAGCCATTGTATGCTCTTAATATCCTTCACTTCCGCCTCGAGGTCCATGACGGCGATTCGAAGACTCTCATTTGAAGCGAAGATGAAGAAGTGAATTCCGGCGTTCCATGCATGGCCGCAATTGGGAAATGATGACAAGGCGATCATTGGATGCCGCTTACAAGGGTCTCTCTGCGCTGCCGCCGAGGCGTCAGACACACACACCGAATAATAAAATGTCACATGTCCCTTCCGGATTGCGCCGCCTCTCAGCCTGATCTCTCGATCCTTCCAGTCTTCCAAGCACGAATAACCATATCTCTTCCCATCTTATAACGATATTGAGTTTGTCCGCTGCTTCGCCGTCAACCTACAGCCAACGCAATACCAGAGGCTCCGATGGTCTAATGTCAATCGAACGCCTCCGCGTTCCGAGTTGCTCCCAGCCCGTGTAAGCCTCATGTGGCAGCTAGCTCTTCTCAGTCACGTTATCCCGGCCTTCGCGGCCCTAGGGAAGGACTTCATAGACAGCGACAACAAGGACGAGGATCTGCTCAGAGATGCCTCAGACTGTTATTCAGACATTATTCGCATAGGAATAGCTTTTGCTGTATCCTGCGGAGAATGGACTTCGGGTTTGAGAGAGGAAGAGCTAAATGGCTTATTGAAGGCGTTGGAAAGCCGGCTTCCGAAGAAATGGAAGCCGTTCGATTTCATCAAGACTTATGCAGCAAGTCTTCCGTTTGCCACCTCATTGTTCAATGAAATCAAGCTAACCAGTCATCAGATTGGTCTGGAAGACCCGGAAATAAAGCAACCATTCGATAAGCTTTACAATCTCGAACATACCATCCAGAAACATCGTCTTGGTGGCTACGAAGCGTGTAGCAAGCTGTCAGCCCAAACAGACGACCAACGAAATGAGTACCTAGGAGTTATTCGTCAAGATCTAAAGATTCATTTGTTCCATGGGAAAGAGAAGACATCCAAATCGCGACGCGAAAAGTTCTTGGAGCCAGTGAAGTTGGCTGCGGTGCACATGCTGAACGTCTACTGCAGGGATCACACGGCGCAGGAGACCGACGAGTTGAGTCTTTCGAAACATCCCAGCAGCGGATTGAAAGATATTTTAAACAAGATTTATTGCATATTGGAACGCAATTGGAAGTGTACCTGTGACGCTGCTAGGCCGTCCAGACCGAGGGAGGCGAGACTCAGTCTGATCCGGCATCATATCCTGGCGCTGAAAATCTCGTCCACCGGCGCTGAAGCACAGATAAAAGGTCATAAAGCCAATTATGAAGTCCTTCTCCCAGTTTGCCAAAATAAAACGAAGTGGAAAGTGACGAATGTAGCATTTAGCAAAGACACCCAGTAAGTTGTCAAAGAGAAGTTCGATGAATAGGCTTCTAAATTGATCATAGTAATCGCGGGAATGCCACACATGATCGTCAATGTGTGAGCAACGATATCTGTCAATGGATTCAAAAAAGCAAAGGGTTTCCAGTGGATTTTCTGGTTGAGAACGATGGGCTCTGGCATCTTAGGCCCCGTCGATCAGCTAACGCCGACTATCACACATCCATGGAATCGCTTCAACAGCTCTTGGAGGATGGCATGTCCATGTCCAGAGTTAGCAACTATTCTGAAAAGGAAAAGTTGACGCTCTGCTATAAATTGGCCAACTCGATGCTCTTCCTGTACCCGGGCTCCTGGTTACGGACTGCGTGGAACAGTACCAAAGTCTACTTCATTCGACGGTCGGGTGTTTCCGCTTTGAAACCGGTCACCTTGGCATTCCCCTATCTTTCTGTCGAAATGCACGATGTGCAAGATGCTACTAGCACATCCAAACATTACATGCACATGCAAGCTCACCCGCATCCGAGCATCCTGGCTCTGGGTATCATCTTCCTCGAAATCGCCACAGGATCTGTGTTCCCCAGAAGCTCTCAAACAACGGCGGACCTCAGCTGGGAACAGTGCAATGAAGACTTCCTGGAAGCCTGGAAGCAGATGGAGAAGCTGGAAATGGAGCGAAAGTACATACCCTCCGCTCTCCGCAAGGTCATCAGGGCTTGCATTGACCTGAAGCCGCCACCAAACATTCCATGCTCCAGTCTGGCGGAAGAGGGTCCAATGCGCCAGTACATACTATCATGCATCATTCTTCCGCTGGCATCAGAGCTGGTGGATGGTTACAAAATTCGCTTAGAGGAGTTACACACGTCCTTGGAAAAAGAGCTGAACGGTCTCGGAAAGGTTGAGGAAGCAAACACCAACACTTCCATCAAGCAAACGCCGGAAAGTTGGAGTCGCAGTCTGGCAACGGTGCCCGAGGGTTCGTATCTTGCAACTATGATCCAGCACGCCGGAGTTGACTTATGTTCACAGTGGAAACAGCGCCGCAGATTCAGACTGCGGGGAGATATGACCTATGTCTTATGGCAGATGGTGATGAGAGAGAAATAACAGTCAACGAAGAAGCGTAAGTTTTCTGAGTCGTATTGCGTGAGACGGAATTGCCACTCAAGAGGTCGTTCAGCATCAGGAGAACAAAGGAATGGTTCGAGTACCACCAAAACATTCTTTACCGAGCCGAACAGTTGCGCGTTGCAAATATATCAAACGCAAGAAGAACTAAGATTGCCATATTGGACAGTGGCATCGAGCTGAGTTCGGAGCACCGAGAATTATACGACTTCGAGCCGAGGATCAAGTACAAGAGCTGGGTCGACGGACACGCTGACTGCAGAGACGACGTCGGGCATGGAACCCATCTAGAAATCCTCTTGCGGAAGATTGCGCCAAACGCCGCTATTCATATGGCGAGGGTGTTCAAAAAGAGGCCCAGAGGCGAAGAGTCTGCAATCATCATCTCCCAGGTGAGTGACTTATCCAGGGTGACGAGACCGGGCAGTAATTGACTGTAATAGGCACTTCGGTATGCGGTGGAACAGTGGAAGGTCGATATCGTCGTCATGTCCTTTGGTTTCTCCATTAATAACGACGTTCTATACCAAGAGATTCAGGACGCGGCTCGGAAAGGCGTGCTGATGTTTGCAGCCGCATCCAATGAGGGAAGGAACCGGCCGGATGGCATCGCATGGCCAGCTCGGGAAGAAAATGTCATCTGCGTCCATTCGGCGGATGGATACGGCAATCGGTCCACATTCACACCGAGTCCGATGGACAACATGCGGATTATGGTTCTTGGGGAGTGTATCAAGTCGGCATGGCCACACCACTTGGGGTCGCGGGATAACCACAGACAAATGAGTGGTACGTAATGTGCGGCGCCCATTGCTGCCGGGATCGCTGTAGTGGTACTCGACTGCGCAAGAGGCTTCCTCAATGGGGAGGATTGGAAGAGCCTTTGCCGCGTGAGTTCCATGAGACGAATGTTCGAAAAATTGAAAGACCAAGGTAACTCAGATGGATATTGGTGGATCAAGCATTGGGCTTTGTTCTCTGAAGACCGGAATGACGCTTGGATCCAGGAGGAAATCAGAAGCTATATCAGGTAACCCATGTGATACAGGTATTACTCATGAAATACCATACAAGACCGCCTGATCTTCTCGGTGTCTTCCCAGATACATTGCATATGTATTGCTTGAGACCTGCAATGATCTCACGGCGATCCCATTCCCTCTCTCCAACTGTTCGCATCCCAAATTTCCCCTCCGAAGCATCTTTTCTAGCCAGATCACTCAAGAGAGATATTGCCCGTTATGAGGATTTTCCCAACTGTAATCATTGTAGGTCTCTATAAGAGCTTCCACTATCAGGTGTTATGCGCTCGCCGTAGGCGGGAGCGATAACTCCAGGAGTGGTTGACGCGGAAACAGGCACTCCAAAAAAGCGGTATCTATACCTCTAATGAATGAGAGTTATACTTCATGATAGATAACAATAATGATGAGAACGACAAGGACAACGACAAGGACAACGAGAAAAGCAACAATAATAGTTGTTAAGGAGATGGAGAGGAGAGTACTTAGGAGCCAGTGAAGTCCAAGTATCTTGCAATGCTTGCGCGGACCATCATTGAGACGCAGCTGTTGTGTGCATACACCTCACTCTGAGGAGTGCCTGCATTACAATAGGGCCAACTTTATGGGATGATTCTTTAGGATACAGTTGAGGTAATGGGCTTAGATATGTATCTTATGATAGATAGAGTAAGCTGCATAGGTCAGACTTTGCATATTGAAAAGTAAGTAGGAGCAGATTCACAGACCGGTTGCTGTGGCGTGCGATGTGGTGGGGACACGCACGATCGTGAGCAGTGAATCGCCCCACAAGGGCGCCTTCGTCGCCGACCACCATCAGCAATCAGCTTGCGATACACGGTCTATTAGTCTAGTTGGTTAGGACGTCGGATTCTGATTGACATCAGTTCCTTCCGTAAGCCCAGGTTCGAATCCTGGATGGACCTATCTTTTGCCTCCACGGCCAGGGAAAATCGTTTTCTGGTTGAATTTGCTTTTTGTACTGATTAATTTGCTCGCTCAACGAACAGCTAACTAACAGGCATAAATGGCCGTATTTTCGAGTTGTTCACACAAGCCGTGTCCGTTGCCCGGCACAATCCTGGATACATCGACCTCACTTGATTTTCGCTTAGACGAAAGCCTGGATGCCCGTAATAGCACGGCCAAGAATCAGACCTGTTCCATGTTAGCACATACTCAGAACTGGGCCACACGCAAAACTCACTGTGAATATCACTCTGCCCCTCGTATGTCTGCGTGACGAACAAGTTCGCCACATGACGGCCGATACCATACTCATCACTGACCGCATTGCCGCCAAAGATCTCCTGCAGAACACGCGCATTCCACAGCGCGCGGTCGCAGTTCTGGCGCTTGACCATGCTAATCATCTCGGGCGTCGCCTTGCCTTCATCCTTCAGTCTTCCGACCTGGATCGCGGCGACAGTGCCGTAAGCGGCATCCGTCGCGGCGTCGGCGAGCTTCTTTTGGACTAGCTGGTACTTGGCGATCGGGTTGTTCTTGAACTGCTTGCGCTCGAGGGAGTATGTCCTGGCGCGAGCGATGCAATCCTCCAAGGCTCCCATGACACCCAGAGAGATGCCGTAGCGGGCGCTGTTGAGGCAAGAGAAGGGACCACGAAGACCTTCAACCTCGGGGAACATGTTCGCCTCCGGTACTGGACAGTCGTCGAGCTGGATCATGCCAGTGATTGAGGCGCGCAGACCGTTCTTGTTCTTAATAGCGGGGGTTTCGAGAGTTCCCGGCGGGCATTGGGAGCGATCGACGAGGAAGCCACGAATCTTTCCGGTCTCTTGCAGCTTGGCCCACACCATGAGAACATCTGCGATGGGGGAGTTTGTGATCCACGTCTTGGCTCCGGAGATGGAGTAGTAGCCCTTCTTCGTCGGGTGAGGCTTCGCGGTGGTCTCCATGGAGCCAGGGTCGCTGCCATGATTGGGCTCCGTCAAACCAAAGGCACCAAGCACCTTACCCTGGGCCATGCCGGGCAGGTACTTCTCCTTCTGCTCCTCGGAGCCAAACTCGGCAATGCCGCCCATGACGAGAGAGGACTGGACTGACATGCCGGAGCGGTAGCCGCTGTCCACCCTCTCCACGGCCTTTGTAATGAGACCACCAGCAACGGTCGAGATGCCTGCGCAGCCGTATCCTTCAATCGTCGCTCCGAGAAGTCCCAGCTCGCCCATTTCCTCGAGGATCTTCTTGTCGTAGTTCTCGTCTCGGTAGGCCTCTACAGACTGTTAGAACGGGCGACGAGATTGGCAGCTAGGACACATACGAAGCACGCGGGGCAACATGCGCTCCTGGCAATAACGCTCGGCGGTCTCTGAGATGGCGAGTTCCTCCTCAGTCAAGAGGTTCTTCGCATTAAGGGGGTCCTCCCAGTCGAAGACAGGGCCGCTGGAGGAGGCGAAGGACCTCGAGGCGGGGACGGCGCGTCTGGCGACGCATTGCCTTGCGCATGTCCTCAGGGCTGGTCGATACATGTTGGAGATTTGCCAATTGAGTCGTCCACAAGGTGGTTTGAGGGGAATCGTGTAAACGGCATGATGGCAGTGTTGCCGTTCAACTACCGACCCCGAGGCGTTGCCCCGCCGGTGGACGTCCCGAGCACCATCCGAGGCACAAACTAGAGCTGCTCTCATTGGCCGGGGAAAGCAGTATCATGATTACATAATGAACCGACGTCGGCGAATGACGTCGTCGGCGACACTGCTGCAGTGTCGCAGTGACAATCTGAACGAAGCTGCTGCCGGGTAGTGCCAGCCATTTGCGGCGATGGTGCCTGCATATCTGTAATCAGTTCGGCGTGGTAAATGCGCACTGAACAAGAATTCCCCAGATCCCCAGAGTGCCGGCACCGTGGCTCTCGGGGGAGCACCGCCACAATATGCAGCAGCGAAGATCATGACAAGTGGACGAAGCCGAGCCGTCAGCAGCGGTGCTGGATGTCGACACGAGCCGGGGAGATGCTTTCTGGGAGTGGCCCATTGTTCGGCAGCAGCCGGGTCAGAGTTCAGACCCAGGATGGGATGTTAGAGTGCACTGTGGGCGAGGTACCACTGCATTTAGACGTGTGTAGTACCTGGAGGATGTACCGTTGTCAGTTTGAGAGCGATAGACGGACGTCATTTTCAGACTCGCGATGGGATGGCAGATGCATAGATGGGCTTTTGGGCATTCGTGTCGAGGATGAATAGCCTCGCTTGACTGCAGCAAGAAGGACACGAGGTTTCATGCAACGCATGCTTTGGCGATGACACGATTCGAGGGTGTTTTGCTCGTGAGTGATGCGTTGTTAGGCGGTCAGATTGGGTCCAGGGTTGCCAGTCATGCCGGCCTGGAGGATCAAGAAAGTGTCTGGCGAAGGTGAATGCCGCTGTTTCCACGGCCTGCAGCAACTGAGCCAGTTCGCTGAAGATGGCGGGCTGCCGTGTCAGTCGCCTGCCAGTCGTGATAGAAGGACAGGGAAGCACATGGTCGATTGCACGAGCCTGAGGCTGAGGAATGGGCTGAATAAACCGGGACAGTCAGCAAGCATTACCAATCCTGACGCAGCAGGAAGTTGCCATCTGTTAGTGGTGCAAGTATCTCTGAAAGGCACGTGTGGCGGTGCGCATGTTCCGTCCAGGTTCCCATTGCAGCGGGGCGCATCCACCAGATGTACCTGAGATGGAAAGCGAGCACTAAAAACAGAGCACACGACTCTGAGGGACGAGCGTCATGACTGAAGCCAACCAAAGTGCGGTTTGTCGGGCGGCAAGCCCACTGTTTGTTTGGGCTGCATGACGCTACTGGACGGGCAGCTTCCTGCTGGGCTGTTCAGGCAAGGTACCTGGACTGTGGCTCAGGCAGGTGAAGGTACTTCCACTTCCGCCTGCGGCCAACCTGAGTGGAAGCAGCCGGCCAACCTTGGGTTTGCTCCCCCTCTAGGTACCTTACTGACTGCGGGTGGTGAGTCGTGACTGGGCGGCAGGAAGGAGGAAGGAGGGGAAAGGCAAGCAAAGGAACCCCCCTCCTTCCAGTCACAGTGACTGACTGGTGGGCAAGAGTGGCTCTGCCCACTGCCTTCTACTGCCCAAAGCAAAGCAAAGCAAAGCCCACCGCACACAGCAGCGACCCTTCCCGTCGTTTTTCGTAGGCCCGACCGTGACTTCCCCTTCTCTTTCCTCTCCTCCACCCAAATTCAATCTCGACATCAACTTGTAACGGGAACGTACGTAGCGAATCGAATTCTCCACGACTTTCCTTCGGGCACCACCACGGTAATACCTCCGACCGACGACTATTTTGAACGACTCTCACAATCCAAATAAAAGTCCTTTTTTTTTCTGCATCGAGTCTCGGCGGGATAGACACTCTCGCTCATCAGGTACGCACGCTACGCAACACATGATTTGCATTCACTGTCCCCGTCCCAACCAACCCAACATCTCGCCACGCATCGGCTGCTGCTGCTGCTGCTTTCATTGCTTCGACGACCGCGATATCCTGGTTCGCTTCACCCGATAGTCCTGCTGCATCGACATCGACGAATCCCTACGACGACTCTAGACCGCTGCCCGACGACAGAACACCCGCGAGGCTGCTTTGGCTTCTTTGTCCTCTTCTGCCTGCCTGCCCCCTCCTACGATCTGTGCATCGCCTGCATCGACTGCCTCGACCTACATCTGTCATTTTCTGCAGCAAGGAAAAGCAGCAATAAAGCAGCTCAGCCATAAATTCGCCAGCAGCAGCCGACCCATTTGCGTCTTGCCTTGCCCACCGCCCGCCGACTCCAGAAAAAGCCCACCTCGACCGCTTTCGCTGACTTTTGCCCCTCACACCAACAGACACAGAGCATTCGCGCGGGCGACCGATCATCTTAGATACCCCAACAACCACACAACTCTGCCAAAATGGCCCTCAAGAGAATTAACAAGGAGCTCACTGACCTCGGCCGGTATGTTTGCTTCCCATTTTCCCAGCCTTGCCGTCCACCGTCGTCACCGCAAGCTTTTGTCGCAGCCCGAGACGTAAGGTGGGGCGATCGGAGAGCGGGGTCTTCTTCAGCGAGACGCCCTCCATCATCCATCATATCTCGGGCCGTCGATGACGACGGTCACGGCGGAGTGACGCCTGCAAAGACAACCAGTTTTACAGAGAGATAATATGCTAACATCGTCGGCTTCACAGTGACCCGCCCTCTTCCTGCTCTGCCGGCCCCGTCGGCGAGGACCTGGTAAGCTACTCCGATGGAAGACCGCGGTGATGATGCCTCGAATCATGACTCAGCCGAGTCGAGACGATGGCTTCAACACACGTCTTTGATAGACTCGGAACAATGTACTGACTTGGGACTACAGTTCCACTGGCAAGCTACGATCATGGGACCTGTAAGTACACCACTTTGATGTTGGACACGGCATGCGGGATTACCACATGCTATGGCCAGCATCGAAATCCGGAGCATCTGCGACCGAACACAAGCTAACGCGATGCAGGGCGACTCTCCCTACTCTGGCGGTGTTTTCTTCCTCGCCATCCACTTCCCTACCGACTACCCCTTCAAGCCTCCCAAGGTCAACTTCACCACGCGTATCTACCACCCCAACATCAACTCCAACGGCAGCATCTGCTTAGATATTCTGCGTGACCAATGGTCCCCGGCGTTGACCATCTCTAAGGGTATGTCATCCGTCCCCTGTACCAACAGCACTCACTAACCGTCGATAGTCCTGCTCTCCATCTGCTCGATGCTGACGGACCCCAACCCCGATGACCCGCTCGTCCCCGAAATCGCACACGTCTACAAGACGGACCGCGCTAGATACGAGGCCACTGCTCGCGAGTGGACTCGCAAGTACGCCATTTAGACGGTGCCGGAGGGTGTGGGGTTGGACGAGTATGACAAGCGATGGCTTTCCTCTCTCTCTCTCTTCGACGGCTGGCGTATGATTAGGTCAAGGTCATTGCTCTGCGTTGCGGTTTGGGATCTCTTTCGTTTGACCAGCACAAAGAAAGGATGCGGTGCTGCGGTCTTTTGGCGGCAGCAGACAGCACCTTCGAGAGAGGTTGCGAGGAGCGTTGTGGATAGAAGACAGACCGATCAGAGTTAGCAGCACAGGTACCACGTACGGGTTATCATACGGCAAGGCTTCATGTTTTCTACTGCATTGACGCGTGCGTTTTGGTTTGACACCGAGAAGAGAGACGACCGGCAGTCACCGCTTTACATCCAGTGTGCAAGTGACGTTCTATGTGCCCATGATGGTGACATGTTCGCGTGCGGGTAACAAGTAAACAAATCGTAGGGAGGAGGTGGGCCAGGCGACTAGATATCCCAAGTACTCATCGGCAACACCAACTCCGTAGCAGCAAGTTTCCATAGGCACGTCATCCACCGGGACGTCTCGGCATCCGAAGGCCACGGGGAACAAACGTCGCCGCCCTAGGTAACAGCCGACACCGCGACAGAGATCGTGAGACGGGGTCCGGCCTCGCGAAGGGGAAGGCAAGACACGGCAGCGGAACGCGACGTGACATTGGCGAGGGAACGCGACGTGACATTGGCGAGGGAAGAGCAGCCGTCCTTCGCTACGAGATGGGAGTTATCCATGCCGAAGCCGCTTTGTTTAAAGACCGCCCGGTATCTCGGGTCTGTCTTATGTTTAGTACCGGGGGACGTCATAGGAGGGCCTGGATCACTCTGGACTAGCTAGGCCTGGTAGGGCGCAGGATATGGCTATGGGATGGGATGGGGGCGGTTTAGAAGATGAGGAAGGAGTTGGGTCATGCGCGGATCTCGTGGGCCGGTTCCAGGCTGGATGTGTCGTTTCCGGGCTCCGGCTCCGAGGCGGGTTCGGAGGGTTGGCCGGCGGTGGTTTTTGATGGTGATGGCACGGAGGATTTTGGGGGCTGGAGGTCGTGATGGGGGCGTTACGGGAGATGGACGTGGAGAGCAGGGACGGGGGGTGGTGCTGTTTACGACTTTGGCTTGCATTATGACTGGGCAGGGTTCTTTCATCTCGGGTATCGCCATTGGGAGGATGAAGGATATCCTCGTTGTGGAGGCGGCGATATGCTCTGGAGAAATCACGGTGGCTTGGATCACGATGTAGGTATGGAGAAGGAGGGCGGGTTGTGGAAGATCAGGTCAAACGAAACGTGTGAGGGGACCCGAGGTACGGTTGGACGGGCGGGCGGGCGAGTTTGGTGCGGCGTCGGGATTTGAGAGGGAAGAGATGGGACGGAGGATGTGGTTGTCGTGTTGGCGAGTCGAGGTTCTGTGGTGAGGCTCTGCGCTGGCACGTGGGTTTGGAGTCGTGGGAAGGGCAATTACTCAAACGGGCGGCGGATGCGAGGCAGGCGCCGTGCACGTCTGGCGGGCAACGAGACGGGAATCTGTGCTTTTTCAGATTGAGAGAGAAGGGGTTTCGATGCGTGCTGTGCTGCGTGCTGCCTTGTTTGCCTGCTGGTCTCTTCCCACCTCGTTTTGAAACTGTGG